AGTTTTGCAGTGGCATTGGTATAAAAACTGCCAGATTAAGGAGAGCTGGGAAGCTGCAACAATACAAGAAAAAAATATATTTGATTTTCTGAAAAAAAAAAAAAAAAAATGTTGGTGCTTGCCCAGGCAAAACCATCATGATGCTGGTGTTTTGGACCAATTATGACTAAAATTTCCTTCATTGTAATCATATGGAGATTTTTTTCTTGTTTTATAGGCCTAAAATCGTCCTCCTCACTTCCTGCATCCAAATACTTTCCTACTATAAAAAGTGGACGAAAAACTGTATTAAAAAAAAAAATGACTAGCATTGTCATACTAATAAAAAATATGCCTAAAGTATCAAGGTGACCTACTACTTTCACCGAGATTCTGAAGTGCACATCCAAAAGACACTTTACCATCCCAAGTGTGGTACGTCCTGATTGCATTCATACTAAATACATTCATGATATTCAAAACATACTTTTTTAAACGTGAACACTCCTTGTTAAAACGTTTGTTCCTCATTAAACGTAGCACCTATGTGGTTTAGAAGATTTAGAACTGTAATAGCACACCTTAACAAACCTCATCATTTAAATTTACGCTTAAGTACAATAACTTAGTTGTTTTTTTTTTTACTCCATTGTGGACCTTTTTTTTTGGACATTTTCCAAAATCGCAAACCTGGGGCAGTTTATACTAATTAAATAATTACCTTAAATATCAGAAGCTTTTCTAGAACACAGGGCAGTCAAATTCCTAGTAATTTACTTACTTTCATTCGATTTATTGTGAAAACAGAAAATGAATCACTTATTCAACAAAGGATGGCACACAAATGGCAAGTCCACTTGTTTATTCAATGGCTTATGATACTGTGCGTCACTGGTCCATTCATTACATGGTTTTGGAAGAATAAAAGAGTGTTCAACAACTGAGGTGTTCTCAACTTATCCCTTTCCATTCCACAACAGACCATAAGAAGCATGTGCTGCTTTTACTGACCACACTCTCTCTCTATTCTACAAACACTGTCTTTTAACTGTGTGGCCTTCAGCTTCCCTCCAAATGTTCAGAGGAGTGGACACAGTGTAAAAACAGCAGCCGCCAATAACATGCTGAATGCTCAAATCTCAATCCCAGTTTACAGCTTTAGATTTAGTCTGCTTTATGCAAGACTTCAGTGTTATTATTATAAATTATTAATTAAAATTTAGTGTTATTTTGTTGGCAATGTAAAATTAATCTTGAGATACAATTTAACACATTTTTATGTTGCCATTTAGTTTTCTAAAACCATGCCAGTAAACAAGTTTCACACCCCCTCCTTGTGTCATGACTCCTGAGAATGAATGCCTCTAATATACATTTTAGAAAAATCAGTGCACTGATTCACACAATTTAACAAAATCAGTGTTAAACACCATCACTCAATTTTCACAGCGGTTTCAATTTATTTGCTTTAAAAATATGAAGTAACTACTGTATATCTGTTTACCTGCATATCTGGTTTATCTCAGTAAATAAATAGTTAAAGTTCAAGTTAAATATGCTTTTAAGCCATTTAAAAGCAAATACTAAATATACCAATGTATTTGCATCTAAACATGTTAGTAAACACATTTGCAGGTAAAAATTAGTGTTTATAAGTGAATAATGAGCATATAGCAAATAAAAAGAATGACATATTGTTTATTGCAATAATATGCTTAAGTAGGATTTTTCAGTTTATTTAACTTCTTGCTAGAAAAATCTAACCTTGAAATCATCCTTTTCTCGCATCTCCCTGGGTTTTTTTTTTAAACTATTTTTCATGTAAAAAAAGCTTTCTTTTACTTTTATTACGACTCATTCATCTAAGTCCTATGCAATAAAAACTAGGCTATTTTTAAAAAGTATTGGCACTTGTCTTCTGATCCAGAGTTGAGCAAAAATGTTCAGCATCCTCCACTGATTGTGTATAAACAGGCTAGGAATTTGAAGATTTTTGAAGATCAAGAATTTTGATGATTTTTGTCATCCAAGAACTGGTAAAACATATACGATTAATTCTGTGATCACTTGTGTTTCAAGTTGTTTATTTGATTCATTGTCCTTGTGGTTTAGGTTAAGTAGGAAAAACGTCACATCAATCTATCCAGTTGCGGCACAGTTATCTAGCTTTGTTATCCAGTTATCTAGCTTTGAATCACGATGTTTCCTCCTTCCGTTTTTGTGGGATTAAAAAAAGTGAGTGTGCCAACTAGAGGAGGCGATATTGAGGTCGTTTTACAGAGACGTGAACGGTTTTGAATTATTACCCTTCAGACTTTATCACCCATGGGTGTGAATGATGAAGCATTATTATTTAATGTAATGTTATAATTAAACGTTTTTTTTCTTCTCGTTATTTTCCCTTTTTTATTATTATTATGTTTGCAGCCGTTTATGATGATGTGTTATCATTATGTTTTCAGTCATTGAGCCTGAATGGTTGGGAGTTGATTTGTCATGTGATTATTTTAAGTGGGATTCAGTTGTACATGCCTGATGAGGGTTGTGAGACCGAAATGTTGCAAATGAAATTGAGATACTCATTTACTGATAGTGTGTGGGAGTTCCTTGTATTTTTGTTGATATTTTGACCTACATAGTTGGTCTTTTTTTCCCCACACACCTATCACCTGCAGGTGTGCGATGGCGTTTGCAAATTGAAACCATCCTTTTAAATAAATAGAGTACTGTACCTAAACAATCTATGTGAAATAGTGCAAAAAAAACGTTGTGTTGCTGTTTCCATTATAATATTGCCTAGCTCTAATCCAAAGGAAGTGAAAAGAACTGAGGGCGAGAGAGCATAGGACAAGGTCAGAACAAAGTTTCCGGTTCATTCAGCTCAACGTGAAAGATAGGCCTAAGATGCTTTGAGAACAAAGAGGGGAAAGAAGAGATATGCTAGAGCATCCAAATTCCAAATAAAAAAAGAAAAAGAATGTCAGGGCACCCCCTGACCATAAGCTTTTAATTTCTAAAAATATACACTCGACAGAAGCCAAATTTCTTCATGGGACATAAAAGGGCTCAGTTGATTAATGCGTCAATGGCGATTACCCTTTTCCGATAACTTCTGCAGGCCATGTGTATATCTAATAGGTCTTAAACCACAGCCACACCATGTGACTCAAGAAAAGGGATTTTTCTTTTCAGAGAGATTAATGAAAAAGCAGCTAACCTGGTTCTGTTCTTGAATATGTAGCTCCCTAAAGTGCAGAAACAAATTACATCTGAAAAACATTTGACAAAACAAGGTTGCATTTCCAAAAAAAAAAAAAAGTAACAAACTGACATAAAACATGACATCAGAGGACAGTCTTTACTTTATAAATCAAGTTTTCCTATTGAAAAAGAAATAAAAAAAATGGGACTCATGTTCCAACATGCAATTACGTGTTTTATTGCAGCAGGAATGTTGCCGGTAAAATACACCTCTTCGTTTGGTCTATTCAGGGTATGAACTGTGCAGAAAACTCATTAGATTCATGAACATACCCTAATCTGCAACACAACATTGTGTGGTCGAACTGATCCTGTACACAACTGAACCCTAGGGATTGACAAGTTGTTATCTGAGAATAACACATCCCTGGTCAGTGAGAAATTCAACACATGTACAGTTATAGTCCGAGTCTGACAGAGAGAAAAACTCCCACACACATCTGCAAATAAATTATCACGGTTACCACATACACAAAGTGTTGTTTATGTTTGGGAATGGAATAGCACACTACCATACTATTTCTGGAGCATATAGTATGCAGACTATGCACAGTATATGAACTTTCTGCATGAATGGAATACCCAGGTGATCTAATGCCTCACACTTGACTTCACCCATTTCCATGGTGGCGAATAAAAGGAAGTAATTACCAATATTATATAGCTTTTTTTTGACTAATCACTTGTTTTTGTGATTAGTCAAGAAATTGTCAAATTGTTTTTGTTACTTAAAAAGCTGAAATATATATATATATATATATATATATATATATTATGAAAAACTTAAAATAGTAATAAGAAAAGTTTCTTGGCAACTAATTGCAATAAAATAAAAATACGACTGTTTCCTCAACTTGGGCCAATACAGAGCTGGCCTCGATGAACGTCTGAAAATAAATAGATTGAGCTACCAAGCAACAATTTCTGATGTGTAACATAGCCTAAGTTCAGTAATCTTTCTCTCAAAATCGTTCAATACTGTTTATGCATAAGTTAAGCCAGTGACTGAAATATCAACTTCAAATCGTTTCTTTTAGTAGGATGAAAATAATCTTATTTTAAATTGTGAACAAATTATACAAAAAGCGATTAAAGAACAATCTTTCCACACAGTGCGAGTTTATCTGGCCAACTCTTTATGAAATCAATGACGCACGTTACACTGCACAACAAAGCTCTTACTGTATGTACATCATGGTGTTTGCATTGGTGAATGCATTAGAGAGAGTGCAGAAACTGCATTGCAATGATAAGACGTTCATTCTCGGGATCAACAGCCTGTCATCTGCTTGCTCAATGCTCGTCACGGCAACATTTTATGTGATGGGAAATAGATCTAAATACAATTAAAACTCACGATTCGGTAATCTCAATAGCTGTAATAATAGTAAAAACGTATAATAGCTGTAGTAAAAGTATTCAAGAGAGTTTCACATGTAATACGTAGCCAATCACAGCAGTGGCCGGTTGCACTGAATCCCACAGCAGACACGCCCCTTCAAATCAGAGCAGGCAAAATGCCTTTTATTTCAAAATTAGTTCGAATTAGTTAATTAGGTAAGATAACTGAACCAAGCTTAATTTATCCAGATGACTCACAAACCCAAGATCCTCATGCTGGAATACTAGGCTCAAAACCCTGCTTTGGCTTTTACAAGAAAACAAATATAAATCAGAGAGGAAAACCCTGACCCCACACGAGCTAAACAAGAACTGTTGAAGCATTCAGGACCCGGCTCACACAAGTCAAAGGCACTTACTTGGAGAGCGAAACACCTCCTACTTTTCCAATGAGCTCCTCATGGTGCAGAACCGCATCATTCCAGGGAATATTCAGGAATTTCAGAAGCGTCCTCATCCACTTTTCTGGGTGCAGAACGAGCTGCTCGTAGTGCATAGGAAGGCACTTGTCCGCTGCCTCCAGGCACTGTGTGTACATTGTCTCAATGGCCCGGTTCCATTTTGTTAGGCAGTCCCGGTAGCTGCTCAAGTCAAAGCCAGCAATGGTGACCTTACGGGAGATCATAGAGTGGACGGAGGCCCTGCCGTCGCGGACCATGAGGATGAACTTAGCATGAGGGAAGATTTTAGCCAGATAAGAGAGTGATTTAAGAGCAAAGGGATCTTTATTACATAGGAAGTTGGCAGGTTCTCCGTGTTTTACAATAATCTCCAGTAGGAAAGCTTGCATGGCTGAGTCCAAAACCTCATCCGTCACTCCAGCTTCATCTAGACGCATTTTCTCCCGCCCGGAGCGGCTCCACATCTGCTTCATGGCCAGGATGCGCGGGATGACGCGTGTCTCTTCCCCACAGCGTACATCGGGGTGAGCGTCCAACATGGCCCTCATTAGAGTGGTGCCGCTGCGAGGGACGCCGCCGATAAATATAAGAGGCATGTCTTTATTGTAGATGAAGGGGTTGCTGAGGTTCTGGCCCGTCCGCAGAGTGGTACGCAGGCTGCTCACCAGTGGCTGGCTGCGCTCCTCTATCCGGTGGTGGCACTCCATGGCGTGCCTACCCAAGTAGAAGACTGTGACGGAGCTGATGACCAGGCAGGCCACTAGTAAGTTCTGCTTTAGCTTGCCGATCATTTCGGTTGCAAATGGGAGGGCCGGTGGAGGATCCAGTGGAGGAGTGGGATGGGGAAGAAGCAGATAAAGGGATGGTGAGGTCGGGCAAAGTGTGTTGATGTGAACGCCCGATACTCAGGACTGGCCGTGACGGAGCAAGTGGAGGCTGGGATCTGCTGTACGCAGCTCTCGTTGAGTACCTGAATCCATCAGGCCTGAAACACACAATAGAACAGATTAACCTCCTCATATACAGTAATTGCAGAATTGGTTTGTCAATGACTATTATGCATGACCATGGTAAAGGTAACAGTCTAAGGAAAATCTAGTTTAAACATGTGCCATGTAAGGATGTCATGGTAATAAAAAAAAATTCCATGACTTAATTAATATCAAGTAAAAAATAATCTGAGAAATATCAAAAGTATGTGCATATATACATAAATATATTTCTGTCATGACAACCCTCGGAATAATGGGCAGGGTAGTGGGTATGACAATGTTGTATGTTTGGTCTTGCGGAATAGATCTGCTACTGCCACTGATTTGATCGCTTCTGCTCCTGTAGGTTATAGCTGCCACTACAGCAGAGCAAGTACAAGACTTGGTACAGCCAATACAAACAAGACACGCTGCTATGAGCAAGTAAGACATGCTGCTGCTGTACAATATAGCATACATAAATTACTCGTAGCAGATCTATACAGGTGGAGCTGGGGAAGGTGGAGGGTTTCTAAAAGCGCGCTACACCATTAAGCTACTGCGGCAGAGCAAGCACAGGACTTGCTACAGCCATTACATCGACAACATGAGCATATGAGCAAGTAAGACATGCTGCTGCTGTACAATATAACGTAAATGAATTACCCCCCAACAGAGAAGGTGACATGATATTTGACAATACAAAATAAGCCGAGTGTACTGTACATGAAAAAAATTCCCAATATCTGAATTCTGATGATTTCACGCAGCCGCCATATTGAAATCGCTCCGGTGTGAAGAAAACCGGAAGTGTCGCCTTTAATCATACGAGAGTCGCGGATACGATGGCATATTGTTGTGTTTAATGTAGAAATTTGGTATTCTAAAAATGTACATACATTTCTTTTATACTTCAGAATGTATAGAGTGAAATTTATAAATTTATAAATAATTATTTTTTATATGTATATATATTCAGAACGTAAAAAAAACTTCCGGGATTCTTCCCACCAGAGCCTCGCTTTCGATTTCAAAATGGCGGCTGCGTGAAATCAGCTTATTGCTGCTGCTCCGAAGTCAGAGCTCCGTGTGTATGCTATCTATGTGTGACTGGCCTTTTAGGTTTGAGTATGAGAAATGGGACATAGGCTTGGTCTTGGCGGACTAGATCTGTCTAGATAGTATTCCCCTAATCAGATCAAGCCATAACACATGTGGGCTGCCATGAGGTGCATATAAGGCACGTGAAGAATCTCGCAGTGTAGCCCTATGTGTACTAGTGTACCCCTTTTTTCCCAAGGGGTGTACCTTGCGACTTACCAATTATGGTGTTCTACACATGTGCCTACATACCAGTGTATGTGTGCAACTAAACGGAGTAGTTTGGGCCGTAAAGGCTTGGCTCTAGTGGCCTTTTAGACGCTCTGATCGGTGAAGGGCCACAGCTCTCCCAAATCATCTCCAGCAGTAGCAGCCTCCGAAGCACCACTAACTCCACCTACGTTTCCCTCGTAAGCTGATTATAGAGCGGTATAGTTCTAATGACGGTGTTCAACTGTAACCGTCACACCTCTAGTTCCACAGCAGCACCATCTTTGTAAATGTACAAAATCTGCTTCACCGTCATTGTGTAAAGCCCACCCCAATGTTTCTGATTGGAGCCACGATTTCGACGGATTAGAAATGGGCTTGAACAAGCTCTTTGCCAGACTAACTTGCAGAGCAAATCTAAATTTTTCCCGGAAGTTATCTGGGTTTTTCCAGGCTATTAAATCAGGACTGAAAGCCTCATGAAATAGTTAGTTCATAAGAAATAGATTAAGCAGACTACGCAAAACACAGAGATAGAGTAAAAACCCATGCACTTATCTTAATTTTAGAGGATTTCTGAAAGCCCGCTGCACTGCACAGCTAAGGCAAATGCTACCGAAGTATTTGAAGGTAGTATCTACTGGTAAACCAGGAGCCAATTAGCTGCACCCCATAGATAACGATGTGGTTATGAATATGAACAGGTGAATAAAAGGATCTAATAATGGATCAAAGACAAATACGCATCTGTAATCATACTTGAAAAAACTAAAATAATACCACTCGTTGCTCTGTTCAACCAAACAATGGCCTTAAAATAAACTGAAAAGAAAGAAGCTTTTAACAAAGCAAATGGACTGAATAAAAAAATGCAAGTGAGGACAAAAATATATCAGACTTCAAAGTATTGGACGATAAGCACAATTGGATTTTGGAAAGCGACACTAGCAAGATATAGTGGTCTGAAATAAGAGACAGATCTGGTTGGATATCTTAAGATTGACTCATGTTTCCACCCACTCGCCAACACATCACCACCAGCAACAAGATGCATGACCTTGCAGTCTTTAATTTGCAGTGCGCTACACAACCTTAAGGAGTGGGTGTCCAACTCAAATCAAGCAATGCACATAAAACTTGACCACACTGTTCTGGCTCAGGCACGTTGGGTTTGTTGCAAGGTTTTTCTATTCTCTGACCAAAGTGTAGCACAAGTGTAGCACTGCATAAACATGCTGGCAAAGGGTTAATGGCAAGGGAGAATCCCTGTGGATAATGATAGGGATACATGAAATTGATGAATCAATTTATTGGTTATCTGCACATCCCGACTCTTAATAGCTTAGCTGCTACAACAACCTTAAACGTTCGGAGAATATTGAAGTTTGAACGGCAATCGTACTATTTGTCAAAATAATCATACTGTGATTTTATTTGCCCAAGATTATGCAGGCCTTAACAAGCTCCAATAATGTCTCGGCACTCTTTTGATAACTTCCAAGTACAACATTGGCCTTCACCTATTTTAAAACAAAATAAATCAATGAGCAGTAATTGTTGTTTTCTTAGTTTATTCTACCTCTTTTACTGCAAAAAAAAAAAAATACTATGACTGTCGAACACAGTACAAAAATGTGCTCCAATAGGCTAATTTCCATATTTCAAAGACAACTGTTTGAAACGAGATCAGTCGTAATGTTCATTACATTACTTACAGGTCTCATCAAGGGAACAAAAGGTGTGTGAAGGCATTAAGCCACTTCGCTCAAAGCAGTCCTGTGAGACCCTCTCAAGACATCCGAAGGAGGTTACTCACAATGACCCACCCGGGAACCCAGCCAATTGAGTTTCGTGAGACACCTGAGCCTAGAACCGCTGGGAATCTATTCCAGGATGCTTGTGATGGTAAAGTGACCCTTAATTGACACAGCTCTTCATCTCGATCCACACAAAGGAGATTATCTGTTTTACTCATAGAAATTACTCATAGAAATTCTTAAATAACTAATATTGCATTACCTTACATCCTATGATTAGAATCCACTATAGCCCCACACAGGTATTCAGATTCAGATGCCATTATGGAATCTATTGAGGCTTCAGGGAACAAATATTGATCACCAAGGCTGTGGTTTCCCTTATAAAACAGATCCGATCCTGGATGCTGATAATCCAGGTCCACTGTGCTTAAACATACTATACAGTCAGAGATCAATTATGTCAGGACAAGACATGATGGCATGTTAATTGGGTGGCAATAAAATTGGTTGAATAATATATTGGTTTAATATAATATAATAAATTGGTTTTACATTTTAATGATTGTTCTTGTGGTTCTACAATAAAAATGAGGGAAATAGAGAGAGAAAATAGAGAGTGAGTGATTATTGTTCACTGGCAGTTGACAGCTGGGAGGAGTTCATACATACTCAAGGATGAAGCAACATAAGCAAGCTGAATTTAGAAAATAAACTATCACAATTGAATTTGTTTACTAAGAGGGCATGCATTCACTGAAAAGCAGTGCATTGGAATGAAAAAATGCGTTCTGTGTGAATGGCACCCAACAACGTCATTTTAACTGAAAGTAACTCGACAACATTCCCACAACAGTTTCATTTACACCGCCTCACAAATAACGCATTATGTTTAACAGCATAGTGGAAACGACAATGAGGGAAATTACATTTTAATTACATTAGGCTAGCATTTTACGTGTTCTAAATATACCCGTATGAAATGACGCACAATAACATACTGCGAACAAGTTTATGGCATGGTAAGATATTTATCTTGATTTTTTTTTTCTCCAAATTCTATCCGTTTGACCTCAATCAAACAAACAACCCTTACTTCATATATTTCAAATTCTTAATTAGTCATCTGTATACGGTTAGTCACTTTCTTTCTGTATTCCTGACAAAAACAAAACCGCTCTGAAAAACGATCTTACGCCGTTAATCATACACTTAGATAAACGTCAGGACTGCGACATCTTATGAACACCAGCCACCTCTGATAAGCGCTGAACTTAAAGCTCTCTTTCAAGGATTTACTTTGATGGAGAGGGCCTTGCTCGTGATGGATTTCTTGGCCATAGGCTGTTAGTGCTGACAGATGGTAAACAGGAATTCCACACCCAGAATCCTCAGTGTAATGGACGAGACTCTGCACAGGAAGAAGCGATGTTGTTCAGGAACATCTTCCCCTGAAATGTGTCACAGGATGAGTCACGGTTTCATCCTCTTCCCTGTTCATATGTTAAACCCACTCCAGTTCATTTCCACAGAGAAGAACCGGATCTCAATTTTTGGCTAAGACACAAGCTGAGAGGGATATTGCAGAGCTCAGAGTAGTAAAGACTATGAGACGGACACAATACTGATCATAAAGAAATCTTTGAACAAATGGAAGGCATGGATGCTTAGTCATTTACAGACATTTTAAAGGCAGCATCATATGGAGGTAAATCACTCCACACCACCAAAGAACAACCTCTTAGCTGATTTACTATTGTGGTGAAGCAATGTTTGGTCTCAAGTTTCACATTTGTGAAAGAGAAATCAAGAAGGTGTTGGTATTAAATTAATAGAGCTTCCACACTTCTGTTATGGATATCCTCCACTGGATTTGACATTGATCTGTTTGGGAATCCTCCACAGGCCTGTGCTGAAACCAGACCACAGCACCACTTAATAAGACAAAGAGTCTGAGAAACATTTCTTTAACAAGACATGAAGGGTGTGTCATTCTTCTTTAACAAAACTACGGTGGGGGGTTGCATGTTAGCTTCTGTAATGAAGTGTCCTTCTTTCCTTATGAGCCTTTTTGAATGAATGAATGAAACTAGATGGTTAGTTCACCCAAATTGATAATTATCCCAAAATATACTCACCCTCAAGCTATAGGTCTATATGACTTTTTGACTTCTTTCAGCCAAACACAATCAGAGTTGTATAAAAAAATATCAAATTAAATTATTTATATATATATATATATATATAAATCGAAATCCTCCAACATTTCTCTTTGAAAATTCTTGTTTTGTACTTCTAATTTGTGACCGCCGTTTTGTTTTGCTCTATCCTCTGTTCGCCTAGACTCACATACGGCCATTCCCGGAAGAAAGTGATAATGCTTTATAAAGTTACAAATATAGATATCTCTCGCTCCACTTCAGAAGGTCTTTAACACCATGGAGCTGTATGGATTACTTTTATGATGGATGGATGGATGCACTTTTTGTGCTTCAAAATCTACAGGTACCATTCACTCCCATTTTAAAGCTCTTTAAGAGCCAGGACATGTTTAAATAACTCTGAATGTGTTTGGCTGAAAACAAAAGTAATATATACTGGCTTAATCATTTTAATTTTGGGTTGAACAATCCCTTTAATACTTTTATTTAGCAAGGACCCATTAAATAGTTCGAAAATTACTGTAAAGACACTGTAATGTTTTGTACGGTATCTCTTTCAAATAAATGCCGTTCTTTTGAACTTTTTAAAAAGAATGCTGAAAAATATATTGCTGTTTCCTCAAAAGAATATGTAGTAGAACAACTGTCTTCAACATTACTAATGGTTAGAAATGTTTCTTGAACATTAACTCATGCAGCATATAAGAATGATTTCTGAAGGATCATGTGACTCTGAAGAACACTGAAGAAATTATGCTAAAAATTCAGGTTTGCTAACAATATATTATATACAAACAATTAAATTTTTAAATATATCAACATAGATTTTTTTTATTACATTTAATAATATTTTATATATTTTACTGTTTTTTCTCAAATAAATGGCACCTTGAGTATGAAACTTTCTATAAAATAAAAAATAAAAATCTTACCAACCCCAAACAGTAAATGTATCAGCTATCAACCATATTAGAGATTAACTTAAATGCAATTGTTATTTTTATTATTATAATTAATCATATATTTTTTTTGTATTTTATTTGTTCTACACATAATACTAGTATATCATTTTGATGTTTATTCCTCATCAGCCACAACATGAAAATAATTTATTATTGGCTTATAGGTTTCACTCACAAATATCGGTGGCAGTGCATCCCTACATTTTTTCCCTTAAAAAAACAAAATTTGATGTTTAGAAAGCCTGAGAAAAGTGTTTTACACACTAAAGAAGGTCTATCAGTTCAGACATGAGAAAAGATCAAACTGAGTGATATTCCCTTTCATACAGCACTGATCCTTCCTAAGGAGATTCAGTCTGGACCACTTGAACAAAACCCTTCAGAAAATAAACCTCTGAATATTAAATTCAGCACCAATGAATGAGCAACAGAGGATGTCATTTTAGATATGAAGGCTTTCTGTACAAAGAGCGAGGAGAGAATGGGAACATTTGATGAAAAAAAGTGCCCCATGAGCAGATCCACGCTATCATTCTTGAATTTGACATCCGTGTGTTGATGGCATTTCTGAGCGATTATAAAAGACACAAAAGGAGGGATCCGGTCATGTGTCAACCATTCCTTAACAATCAATCACATGCATGCAACCACTTTCTACCTGCTGTCTCACCTGTTAATGCAATTATGCAACCATTTCAGTTTCCATAAAAAGCACTAATTAGAAATGTCAGTTTTAGGTATAGTACAAATGCACAATTTAATCTCGATAAATTAATATTAGTTTTTTTTTTATATCATTTAGTATTGGTATTATTATTTAGATTATTTTTGTTCGCCATTATTTTTGTTACCACTAATGGTAGTTAGGCTCTTCATTAAATCTGATCTTTAAAAACAGTAATAATTATTTTTGTATAGTAGAGAATTTTAATAACAGCCATAGCATCAAATTATCCACTTATTTGGTATCGGAATTGTAACATCTGCAAATCCCTAAAATAAAGGAAATCCAAAGATGTTTCACTGAAACTTGCTGGCCATTGGTTAAACCTGATTCTTCAGTCAAGGATGGGACACAGAGTGGCATTATGCCACTCGCTAATCTCTGATGGTCTTATTATTTCTAACAACCTCTGACCCAAAGTCATTCTGTAGAAAGCCTTTTAAGATCACATTACTTCATCCACATGTTGAGAGCAATATTCTACATTTCGAGAGAAGCTTTTAGGTTCTTGAATGAGCTTGAATAAATCGTGCGATACCATTTTGCAGCACATGTGAAATGATCTATGACAATGTCGACTTAAGAACCAAAGGGGCCTAATCTAATATTCATATGTGTATACCATCTAGAATGTTTCATCTAAGATGCCCAAAGTGCGGTGTTGCACTGCTAAATCTGATCTTAAGTGGATATTCAATCAACTCACAAGCACAAAAAAGTAATTTCTCTGTAGTTCAGAATTGGCTGACAATCTCGAAGTAAAAACATCTCAATCCCCACTGCCTTCTAGTGGCTGGGTCAGAACTACAAAAGAAACTACAAAACTACAAAATTAATCAAGATTAAAAATAGGGTCCGTCAATGTGGCCGTGAATGTAGGTTTTAGCCTCTAAAAAAAGGACAAAAAGCCACAGGAGAAAACTTTCTGCTCCCATGCATGTTGAAAGTCCATATTTCAGGTCTCTGTACATAATCATGATTGCACAAAATGCAAGGACAGATCAATACACAAGTGTTGTGCTTGTTAGTTGAAACCACAAGAGAAGTTAGTGTCACAGCAGAAGTGTTATCAGAAAAAGACTGTCCATCAAACAGATATCAGTTGTTTAAGCAGACAGGGAACACTAGTACAATCCTAATCTAATGCTGAATTCTTGATAAAAGTAATTAACTGAAACGTTAAGCCTTTTCAGCCTAAACAACTGAAATAAATATATTAAACAAATAAAAATACAATACTTTTCAAAAGTCTATGAGGCTAGTCAACTTTAGGGATCTCACAGATTTACAGACGTGATATGTCTAAAACTCAGTCGAGAACCCAGTGAAAAGTCAATTAAACAGAGACATAAACACACACACACACACATATATATATATAGAGAGAGAGAGAGAGAGAGAGAGAGAGAGAGAGAGAGAGAGAGACAGAGAGAGAGAGAGAGAGAGAGAGAGAGAGAGAGAGAGAGAGAGAGAGAGAGAGAGAGAGAGAGACCTGGATTTATGTGCCATACATTACATCTAACGGTCAGTACATCAGGTTCTCCCTCAGGTCTGACAAGAAATCACTCAGTCAGTGGTCATTCTCTTTGGAATAATGTTTGGCCAAAGCACAAGCTAATTTCAATGAAAGGTATTTCTATTGTCCAAAATAATCTTTTGAATCTCAAGGGGGCTGTCTGGCCATAAACTATGAATTTGGCTGCCAGTGAGTGCCAGCCATAAGACTTCAAACAGCTCTATTCAATAAGGCCTAAAGAGAACATGAGAACATATTAAATTGTCACACTTATAACATATTCTTCTTGTTAATGACAAAAAAAAATCAGTGAAAGAGGCTATATAAAAAACACTATAAAATATCGTGTCTAACTACTATAGCCGCATTATATATAGCCTATTTTGTTTTTATTTTCTTTTGACATCCACATGCACAACATCATCGGGGTGTTACAGACTAAACAGATGAATGACAGCTGGACTGTCGTCCTATACAGTTCAATTCATACACCGGCACGTGCCAAGTCCGCATCATTTTCCCCCAATTCAAAACATACGAGAGGCAAGACCATTTTTTAACTCAAAACTTAAGGCGGTCTACAATTAGGAAAAAGAGGCCGAATGAAAGTAGGCTAGATTGATGTGCGGTTAGTACGGGTGTTGTTGTAAATACATCGTAACGCTGCAACACTTTGGGGTTATATTTAAAGAAACGTACCTGGTTTGGTAGATCCGTCACAATAGACGATTACTGGGTTACACAAGAACTCTTTGTAGTCGGGGACCAATGCACAGACGAGCCATTCGCTTAAGCTGTTCCATTCACCGCTTAAAAATGCGACACTCTGGACGTCTCGACGCTGCACTCACCACAACTGTATCACATCGAAAGCTCATCACCTTTACTGGGTTGCCAGATGCCCATTATATCGCTTTAACTTCACACAGAGATATTTATTTGTTCACTATCTCAAACAACCACGACCTGATTTTCGTTGGATTTTACTAATATAAAAATGATACGATTAATTGGAATGTATGATTTTATATATATAAATTACTGAGAGTGGTAAATCTCCTCCCCGCATATACCACTGTCCTTCGTGAGGAGCTTTTATATCATAGGCAACACGATTACTGGATCCCTGTCTGAAGAAAAAAATAATAATAGCAACACTATGATTGGCCCAGGGTCGATTTGACGTGAGTGTTTCTACGTCTGCTATAGGTTAATGCGCTCCGCTTGCTTTAACCCCGCCCTCTTTGGTTGTGTTTTGCAAGGGAGCACCGTGGTGCTACGAGGTTCTTAAAGGGAAAGCGCATATGAAAAGGTATATTGTGCTGATGAACTAAAGACTGTGGTTTACTTATTTTTTTTCTGTCTGAAAAGTCGGTATAGCAGTAAATATCGCTGACATTAACAGAGTAAAATACTAAACACTTTAAATAATTTGTAGCCTAGTTATAGAAACTACAATTTTAAAAAAATGTGTCTTATTTTAGAATTCGCCTATATATTTTTTTTCGAATAAACAAATTTGAACTGAAATAAAAGTTTAAAAGTTGCTCAAAAGTTACTGTTAATTATTACTCCCTGAGCACCACTACATTTGCATAAGATCGAATTTCCTATTTCTGAGCCCTTTTCCAAGTTGTAAGTCCAGCTTCAGGTGACATTTTATTCCACTGACCCTTGTAGAAATTTGGAAAATCGACTTCCCAAATTGAAAACTGGTTGAAACGCATGCAGCATTACTGGCAAAATAAGCTTCATGCAGAATAAGTTGAATTTGACAGCCATTACTGCACTAATAGACCATAACGTGAAAACAGAGCACTCAGCTTCTCCAGAGCCAAGATATTTTGAGCCCCTAAAAGCTTCCATCACTATAGTTTCTCAGCCCATGTTTCATGTTTCCTATGCGGTGGTCAAATGCGCTAGATGTGAAGCTGACATTCTTCAAAATAGGAACGTTTTTTTTTTGTTTTTTTTTTACATATTCAGCGGAAAGATCTCTTTAAACAGAGGCTCTTCAAAGGGAGATGTGTACCTGTGATCGTAACTGATATCTTGTATTGGTAATAAACTATAGACAAAGTCAGATCTGGGTCACTTCAAAGGACTAGTAAACCGGTATCCAAAAAGCACAGATGATCATTAGATCCCTCAACTTGGAATTTACAAGCTTAATTATGATTTTTTCTTATGTTCACTTCAGTAGGAAGCTCTCAACAGTTTGGCGTTTTGTGAAAAATCATTCTCACCATCCTTTTCAGTGAGATGACAATCAAACAAAAGTCACATTCCCTCTGGGGGCCATTTTTCCTGGTCTGAAGCTCCGGCTATTCAAATATCATCTGTGAAATATGACAAAAATACGGCCGCTATATAATGACTAACAAGCAGGTGGGTCAGAAACGGCATATTTAACAATACGTCCCCGGAGAGAGGAATGGATGGTGCTGAGAAAGCACACCAAAGTGTGGGAACAGATGGGTCCTGAGAGAATGGCAGGAAATCACAGCCTGTATGGTGCAACATAGTGTATCGCCGTGTGGGCCTGTTCAAATCTGCAGTGGGACAGGCTCCGGGGCAGAAAAAAAATGGCCACCCCCAAGTGTGAACTCATCTGTGCATTTTGCTTCATGTGGTTGCTTGCATAAACACTCGCTGCATTCTAAACACATACAGCTTTGATGGAATTAATCTTTGCACTAGAGAAAGACACTGAATCCCCTGGATGTTCAAATGTGATGTATTCTGTAATTTGCACATAAACTGAAAGCTGTCTTGAATTAGCATTGCTAAATAAACATTGGAGGATTGAATAAATAAATATAATGGCTTGCTGTCATCTACCACAGAAACTAATTGTCTAATTTAATATAATTTAATTTTAATATATATTTTTTAAGTTAATTAAACTACTTTCTGTGGTTATTGACATCATGCAACCAATCAGCCCGTTCTCATCCCAAGGCGTCATCTAACTGACGCTTTAGGCACCCTTTAGCGTCAGTTAGATGACGCTTTCCTAGTGGTCTAACACTACCCCAGACCTAAACCTACCCGCGTCATCTAACTGACGCTATCCTAGGGCGTCATCTAACTGATGCTAAAGGGTGCCTAGGGCCTGTTCACATAGGCCCATCGCGTCTTTTGCGTGCTCAAGTTCGTTATTTCAAATGTAGGCGCGTGGTATGCGCGCTCATAATGGAAGCGCTTCCGTGCCGCATCAAGATAAAAACATCTCAACTTTTCAGAATGCCGCAAGCGCACCATAAGCGCACAGTAGGTCACGTGGCAAGAACCAACCGGAGAGCAACCGCCCTAGTGCTTTGGTAAAAGGAGAATGCAGCGCACCCAGCGTTTTCTACGTGTTTTTAGGCGCTATATGTGAATCCGGCCTAAAGCATCTGATGTTGAAGCATGGTCAAAATTGTCAGTTATCTGACGCCTTGGGATGAGAATGCGTTGAACCAATGTGGCCAGTAATAAAGCAGTGGTTCTCATTAGTGGTAACATCGTTTCAATTCCATGATATTTTTCGACCATATAATGAAAATCAATGGCAAACAAAAAAAACTGTTAAGTTATATGTTGTTTCAAACCTGCATGATTTTCTTTCTTCGGTGAAACATAAAAGAAATTTTCTTTTTGTCCATGAAATAAAAGTCAGTGTGGTCCATACCATTGTATGGGTAAAACAGTTGAAATCTTCTGTTCTACAATATATCTTCTATGTTCCACAGAACAAAATTAGGTCATGCAGGTTTGGATCAACATAAAGATCAATAAATGATGACAGAATTTTTTTTTTTTCCATGTGAACTATCCCTTTAATTTCCAGAACCTCAAAATAATCTTTAAAAAGTTTTTGAGCTCTATTTAAAGTTTCCGACTTGACCATTAAATCGAAATTACTGTGCTAGCTGTTGTCAGAGAAACACAAACACTGACTGGGGCTTATAAGATGAATCACATCGCCGCACAGCCTTTCTGTCTGGTCTGATCTTAGCAGGAGTGGTTAGAATCCACAGTCTCATTCAGATCCACAGTCATACCAAGTTTAAAAGCACAAGCACACAACCTCATTCTTAATTAAAACCATTACGTTGCCCATTGAGGTCTCCAAAAGAGGTTTGAAGCAATTATGAAACTGGTTGGCTTTCGTTTAAGACGCATTGAAAGAAAAGGACCATGTGTCTGCAGACCAACAAGAAGCCACAGATTTTGAGAAGTACATTGTGTAAAACGTTTAGATTATTTGTGATTTGCCCTGTAATTTCTGAAACAAAAGATTGGATGTGGATGAATGTGCATGCGTGAGCTTTCGGTCCTCGTCCTCCTCTCCTGCAATCAAATTCTTAATCAGTCACACAGTGTCTGGCTTGATTAGGCGAAAGCCTTCAAACTCTGCCAAAAACAGAAGATTGGGGGACAAGGGGTGGGGGGTGATGAAGTGCTTGGCCTAAATAATGCGCCTGTTCATACTCAAGGTTACCCAGAATAAATATATATATATAAAAAAAACAGTTCTCTATTTTATACCAATTTTTGATTAAACTGTCTCAGTTTGAGAGTAGAAGTTTGTACAAATTCATGGCCTAATGTACACCGATTTGTCTTTGAACATTTGCAAATCCGTGAGCATTAATGTATGGTAACTCCAAATTCTGTTATGACTGCTTCCACTTTTCTGGGAAGGCATTCCAGTATAGACGCTGGAACGCGGATGCTGGGATTTGCTGCCATTTAGACATAAAAATATCAGTGAGGTCAAGCTCTGATGTTGAGCGACAGGGTCTGGTTAGCAGTCTGCATTTCAATTCATCCCAGAAGTGCATATGGTTCAGGTTGGAGTTTTGGGAAGTTTTTCCTCCAGATTCTGTGCGTTTTTATTTTACGCTTGTTTAAATCTGTTCATTTCAACCAAAATAAAAGTTAAGCGGTAAACCTGTTTCATTATCCCTCCCACACTAAAATGAGTGCAAATTTAAAATGTGATGTATATAACAACAATATACATCAACATTAATTGTTTTAAGCACAGTAAGCATAAATATAATTTTTTTTAAATATTTTTGAAAGAAGTCTGTTATACTGTGATTATTACAAAGAAGTGGTTTCTATTTTCTATATAACATTTTAAGTTGTTCCTGTATAACTGAAGTTTCAGCATCCTTATTCCTCCTGTCTTCAGTGTCACATGATCCTTCAGAAATCATTCTAATATGCTGATTTGCTGCTTAAGAAATATTTCTTATTATTATCAATGTTGTGCATGTATAGAAATGTTTTGTGACTGAAAAAATAAACTTTTTTAACTTATTGACCCCAAACTTTTAAACAGTAATTGTAAAGATACTAAACAGTGTGGAACTGAAAGGGCTGTCCACATACTTTTGATATTATAGTGTAGAAGAAAAAAAAACAACAACAATGTGCTGCCTTGCTGCTAAATATGGTTCCATAACTGTTTTTAAAGCACTTATACCAGTTTATTAAAAAGAAAAAGAAAAAAAAAAAAAAAAAAAAAAAAAACGGCTTCATCTATTGCTCTAACACAATTTAGCAGTGATGTCCAGCTGGCCTGACTGTAAGCTAGTCTTTAGCTTGTGTATGGCTCAGTTGTGAATGTTATATGCACTGAATTAGCAGGCTTGTCCCAGCAGTTTAATTGAGGTGAATCGGGCTTGGCAGGGAGCCTGGTCTGATTTTTAACTAAGCTGATTTTCATTGGCCAATGTTTAGGGTTATGATCCTGAGGCAGATGGTACTGTACATCTAGTGGGAATTAGAGTTAAAGGAACATAGCCATAGACAGTTACAATGAATACAAACAAGCTTATGTTGCGGATGCCTTGAGTGAGAGCTGTTAGCAGGAGCTGTGTTTCTCAAGTAAAAGATACCGCTTACATTGCTGTTGTGTCATCAGGGCTTACTTACATGCTTTCACAGCTGGACTGATTTAGTCAGGGTCAATAGGTGGGACTGCACTGTAAACAAACTGTTGATAAAAGTTAGTTAAAAAAAACAAGGCAACTTGATATTTCTGCATTCTTGTAGAGCATAAAGTAGAGTAGAGCATGGTGCCAAGGTGCAATTC